AAGTTGTGTGTGAGTAAGTGGTGGGTGTGAAAGTTGTGTGAGGACAAGTTGTGTGTGGACAAGTTGTGTGTGCGTGTGTGAGTAAGTTGTGTGTGAGGAAGTGTGTGAGGACAAGTTGTGTGTGAGTAAGTGGTGGGTGTGAAAGTTGTGTGAGGACAAGTTGTGTGTGGACAAGTTGTGTGTGTGTGTGTGAGTAAGTTGTGTGTGTGTGTGAAAGTTGTGTGTGAGGAGGCGGGGGGAGGCGGAGGCGGCGGAGGAGGAAGGAGGCAGCGCGGGAGTGCCCAACCAAAAACATGGAGCTTTCCAGGGGAAAGGCTGCCAAGGGACGACCGCTTCAAACCAGTGGTGGTCCAAAGCATCTACCGCAGAGGGAAGGTCATAGGCATCTCTCTGCAGAAGCCAGCGAATCAAATGGCACCCGTCATCAGATTTGCCTCAAGCGGCTCGCAACGGCTCGCAATCTTCAAGAAAGGCGCGCAACTTGTTGAAAATTGGGGGAGACTGTACCACAGTGTAACACTGCAACTCAATTGTTTGTGCCACTTCTTAAGGGGGGAATGATGAACCGTTGGATGGGCTCTAAAAATATGGTCCCTTGTTTCCCAACATTTCCAAGCAAACCTGCAGATGACATCCCACCAAATTTGAGGTAGAAACTCACGCTGGGAACCCCGTGCACTAGAAGATGTCTCCCGTGCTCGTAGACAATGGCTTGGTGGATTCAGTCGGCAAAGGCTGGGTCTATATATGGTTGCCTGAACATACAAATTTGGTTTGTCAAAAAATGTTTTTTTGATTAGAAAAATGATGATCATCCTTGGAAATTGGAGTGCCCCGTCGGCCCCGTGCTCAACTATCATTCATTTCAATTCATTTCCAAAAATCAGTATGATTACATCTCTAGAAACACCACGTGACATATCCCTATACTGAAAGCATAAACCATGACTTCGGACTATAACTAATATCATCAGTCACGATGAAACACGCAATTTGCCCATGGTCCAAAGCGCTGCCTCAACCTGGAACTTTCAACTGCTGCAGGGTGCGATCCATGCTTCTTCGGGGTATCTCAGTTCCCTGCTGGATCAAAACTTAGTTACCCATGGAATCCCATGGAATCCCATGGATGTTGGGTATATGTGGTGTGTTTTCACTCAATGTTGTAGTGTTGTGTTTTGGGAGGTTTTTTGTACAGGTCTTTGCTGATCATTTTTGGACCCTCCCAGAAAGCATCCCTTCGTCCCTTCGTCCATTCGTCCCTTGCACGTTGGGAGACCTGCGGGTCTTCCACATGGGATCAGCGGTAGATCCCCCAAGCGCGTGGCGATGTCGCTTTGGATCTTCGTCTCTTTCACAAAGGCAAAGGTCCGGAAGAGTAACTGGTACAACACCGCCCCGAGCGCAAACCTTGGGATGATGAAATGGGATGATAGGACATTGTCCACCTTTGTTGACATGGATACAACAAGAAATGGGAATAACAAGAACCATTGAACCATAATACCTTCCCAGTGGATATAGTACAGTAGCATCTAGAGAAGTATTGACCCATGTTGACCCCTTATCCCAGAAGAAAATTGCCATATGATGATCCATCATCAAACATCATCAAACATCATCAAACATCTCCAACTGATCAGGGTTTGTTGAGAACGGGATTCCTATGATTAATGGGTCATGAGCCATGACCGAAGGACGTTTAGAAGTCAAACTTCCGACAGTGTGCACAGATAGAAAAGCAGAGGTGGGAAGAGTCAGAGAAGAGAAGAGAAGAGAAGGGAAGGGAAGGGAAGGGAAGGGAAGAGAAGAGAAGAGACGAGAGGAGAGGAGAAGAGAAGAGAAGAGAAGAAGAAAGAAGACCAGAAGAGAAAGAGTCAGAGGAAAGAAGATGCAGGTGTGCGAAAAGGTAGAAAAGCCGGGAGACCCTGTGTTTTTCCAATGTCTCCTGGCTTCGGAGGGTCGAAAAATAGGCTGGCTAAAGCGGCGGGTGCGGAGCCATATGGGGAGATGAGAGATGAAAAATTGCAGGCCGTTTTGAAGTCGAGCTGTTGAAAAAGTGCACGCCGTTGTGGCGCGAAGCACGTTTCGAAGTCAAAACTGTGAAAAGCAGTCGGGTTCGGAGCACTTTTGGAAGTTGAGCTGTTGAAAATTCAAAGTGCACGGCGCTGGGGCGCGAAGCACATTTCGAAGTCAAAATGGTAAAAGCACAATAAAAACACCACATGTCGGACCATTTTTGGACGTTGAACCGTCGTTGTGGCAGGTGCAACGGGTTCTGCACCTTGCCAAAAGAGAGCAAGACGTGAGGGTTTTGTAGCAGTTTCAAAAGCGTTGGCAGCCATGGGACATTTGAAGAAGATCTGCAAAGATGAATTTCGCGCGGCAGGCGCAGTACAAGAGACATGTTCATCAGAGATGTTAGGAGGTCAGCGTGCTGATTTCCTGACAAGGGGTTGCATTTTGGAGCATCAGATCTTCAGGTTTGCTAAGATGATTTTGTGTGACAGGCGCAGCACTTCGTATGACATGGCCTCACTTTTTCGTGGCAGGCACAATACTTTAAACAGATGGAGCGGAAACATTGGAAACCGCATTGGTACGAGGCCATCAGCTCTGCACTCAACTCTCCATGTTTGAAGGAAGTCTTGCAGAATTGCTTCGTTTTCAAGCTTGCAGGTGGGCAGATAAACAGATAGATAGAGAGCCAGATCGACAGATAGATAGACAGATAGTTAAACAGATTGATAGGCAGATAGTGAGAAAGACAATAGACAGACGGGTAGATAGATAGAAAGACAGAATTGACATTTTGAAAGATAAATAGATAGCCAGGTGGACAGATAGATAGACAGATAGATATAGACAGACAGATAGATATAGACAGACAGATAGATAGATAGACAGGCAGATAGACAGACAGATAGACAGATAGAGAGACAGACAGGCACATAGACAAATAGATAGGCAGATAGGTAATTAGATAGATAGACAGACAGATAGATAGATAAATAGGTCGATAGACAGATAGACAGAGAGAGAGAGAGAGACAGACAGACAGACAGACAGACAGACGGACAGATAGATAGCCCGACACTCCAACCACCTTTTGATCCATCAGAGGGTTCGATCTGCCATCCATGATTCACAACAGCCAACCTCTCCTATAGGTTTCCTATCTTTGAAACTTCCGCCACTGCCTTGTGCTGTACTACTTGTAACCCCCAATAAACCCGGTAGTTTTTCACGCCGTAGAATAACCGCAATATTGTTTCGCTTAGATGATGGGCAAGTGCCAGACATTGCCTGGAAGGAGGAACAGGGGCCACAATCTGTACCACAAAAAGCACGACTAAATAATGCTATTGGGAAGATGCTATTGGGAAGATACTGGCTGTGTCCAAGGTAAGTGTTTCTGATGTTGTTCTCCTGCAATATTCTAGATTCTAGATAAATGGGGGATACCTGGGATCCTTTGCTGTGTCTCTGGGGCTGGCAAACTGTAGGTGCAGAACCAGCCCAAAAGAAAAGAGCCAATACACAGGACCAACAAAAACAACTATCCAAATAGGTAGATTGTTCCTTCAAAGTTGCATATTCAAAGTTGCATATTAGTGTTTGCCAAGCGACAAGTCAGATTTTTCGCAGAATTCATTCTTCTCCAAGCATTCCGGGGCTAGGAAACCATGGGTGCCACAGCCATTCCTGGACACCGTGTTTGTCTCCACTTCCAGGAAAGCTGCCAATCCAAAGTCTCCTGGCAGGGGCATGGATCAGAATCACCAAAATCTATGGGAAAAAAGGGCGGCATGCTTTTGACGACTACTCTGATGTAGCCACTTCAACACTGCAAGCTTTGAAATTGTGAAATTGCTGTAAACACGCCAAGATCTAGTACAGTATGGAAAATATATGAAAATATGTCTGTCCGTCGACCTTTTTCGGAACTGACTCCTAACAAGACCTTCTCACCACCACTTCCCACCAGGATGTTAGCTGGTTTAACATCTCGGTGCACAATTCCACGAGCGTGGAGATGGGACAGTGCAGAAAGCACAGAGCGACAAACAAAAGCGGCTTCCGACTCGGTGTAGCGGAAGAACGCAAAGTCCTGTGCGATGGGCCGATCTTTTCCGGCCAAAGCTGGGCAGCTTCGCTGTAAAAGGTATTGGGGCTGCCCCGTGTTGAATGTTTTGTGGTCCAAATGAAAAAACGATGAGAATTCCGTCCCTTTGGTTAAACTCAAATAAACCAAATTGGGATTCCAATTTACAATCCATCCCACCAGGGTTTCGATAGGGTGTATTCAGATCATGGCAGATAAGTTGCAACCCTACTGCCTGGGATGATCCCTGTAGTCTTTATTGGGATGGACAGAACAGGAACCTTCACGACAGTAACAGCCAAAAGAAATATAGTTATTATCCCCCCCAGGTGAGGTTCTCTAGATTTTATCAGAGTGACTTGCCTCCAGATCTCAGTGGGCACTTTGCGACGACTGTGGGCCTGGACCTGGTGCCACATCGCGAAGCTGTGGAAGGATGGTGTGGCGTTAAACACATGCCAGAGAGATTGCCAACGAGAATGCCAGGAATAGATGCCACATACAAGTAGAATGCCAGAAAGAATGTCAGACTGCCGGACCTCAACCAGGAGGAGGGAAGAGGAGAAGAGGACATAGATTTCATCAGAGTTGTTTTATATAGTGTTTTATCCTCCTCTTCCCTGCCAGAAAGATATGCCAGAAAGATGTGTCAGAAAACATGTCAGAATTTATCAGATCCATGGCAGACAGGTATGACATGGTATGACAGTATGACTTTGTGACGGTGGGGCCCATAGGGACCACTGTCCACCTAGGTTCCAGTTGGAGCAGGCTGAGCAGGCATGACTCCAACCATCTTTCGCAACATCCCATCCAAGTCCTGCAAAGAATAGTCACACTTTTCCATGAACAGCGCGCACAGGCGCTGCGTTGGCATGTCATCCTCCTGCGCTGATTCCTGGGAATCCCAAGGGAGCGGCACACCAGGCGCTGCACAGTGACCCTCGACGTTTAAGAAGTGCTTGAGGCAGTTGTGGATGGGCAAATGGAAGAGGCCCAAGGTTTGCACTACCTGAAGGAGTTCCTAGACCAACATCTCTGTTTAAGGGTTTGTCAGTTTGTCCAATAAGGGGGGTCCTGCTAACCAAAAAGATTGATGATCCTGTTCCGTGCTTGGCCTTGTTTGTTGAGGCCCATGCCCCATTCTTGCATACTCATTTCTGCTGGATTTTGCCATGGATACATGTGGGTGATCAAAATTGAAGACTCCCCCAAACAGGATCGTCAACAGTAAAAACTGCCCTAAATTTTGACCATCCAAGATATCCAAGGAACATGGGGGCATCCCTTGACTGCTTCCAGCATTCTGAACTCATGAGATGCCAAAGCTGGTGGTTCCTCGCGTTTGCTCGGCACCTGCGAGTTGATTCCCACGGTCTGGATTTATTTCAAGCGACCTCTAAATGTTATATAAGGGATTGACAGGGAAAAGGGAAAGTCATGGAAAGTCTACAGAAACTATGCCTTGTACCCTGTCGTCAAAAAATGGGGAGCTTCCTGGAACTTTCAAATTCAGGAAATGGAAAGATAGTCAGCAAAGTTGGAAACCTAGAAATCATCAGAAATACCTTCTGTCTTGTGGACTCCCACAAGTAAATGGATACTGGGAAAGAATGCGTAGGTAGATACAGAGGTCACAGACCTACCAACACTAGCTGTGAATCATCTGTCACCGCCAATTCCAGGGCGCTCCGGCCTTGTAAAACTTACCTACAAAGCGGCCAGGCAATTCCACCTCTCCACCTTTACCTGGGCGGGGCCGTCAACATTCACTTGGGATTCTCGACGCCATGATCTGACCGAAATCAATGGTCAGTGATGGTCAGTGGTTGGTGTCTAAATCTCGGCCGTGTAAAACCAGGTAGAACCCCTTTAGGAAGCGATGTTCGTTCCATTTGATAAGCAATTCGTTGATCTAAGTCATCACAATGGACTTCTAGGATCATTCCCCGGTTAGAAGCCCAGCAGGTGCCCAGCAGCAAATGCACTCCACAGCTACTGCAGAAACACCTTGCCCTCTGACCCGCAATGGCGAGATATCGAGATCATCGCGGCTGGAGAATGGTCGTGCTCTCACCATCGACATCTGTGACGGGATTACGATATCACAATGCGTCGGAGAAAGCTACATCTGAGCCAAACGGCTTTGGGTCCCGGGTTTTTGACATCTCTTCACTGCGGGATGTTTTCTGGGTGTCCCATGCTTGGTAAGTGAATGGAATAAGAGTGGACTGGTAGCCGCACAAACTCCAGGTAGACCAACACGGTTGACTCAGAAAGTGTTAAGATGCGGGTCGCGAATCTAACATCACACTGGACAATCGAAACCATCAATAACCATCAATTGTCTCAGGCAAAACCAATGGCAAATGGGTCATGTTCTGGGAAATTCTTGGGTTCCCTCAATAGCCATCCAAAGACATCCTTAAAGCATTGCTGGTCACAGCAAAAATAGGCCGTTTTCACCATTCGTGGTTACCCCCCATTCATCAGCATGAGAAATTCCGATGATTTTTTCCAAGGTCCTCCCATGTTTTAGGCAACCCCCAGATCCCCTATGTTCAATGGTTACTGTCAATGGATGTTTGACATATTTCATGGCTTAATCATCATTGCTTTCATGCCTAAATCATGCCACATCCTTAGAAGAATGTCAACCTGGATATTTTGGATATTTGTTCAACCCCAGGCTGTTTCATTAGGGGTGTACCAGAAAACGATTTGGGGGGTACATCCGGGTACCATGACAAAACGGACACCTCCTATGGATAGGATCCCATCCAATCTCATAAAAACACCATCAAATCACCACGAAATTGCTGTTTCTAGAGACATCTATACACATCTATAAACCATGTTTGGCATGTTTCCCCATCATTTTTTTTTCTAAACCATGGCAACCATGGACAGCCCACTGGCCTGGCTACAAGCAGTGGAGCAGTGGTCCATGCTCTCGCAGTTGAACTTGTCCGTGTGGCTACCTGGCCACGCTTAAGGGGCCACGAAAGGCAGCTGGAAAATGATGGGAAATGTGTGGAAACATGTTACGTAACATGTTCCGTAACATATTCCATCACCCATAGGATCCATGTATGCTATATATGGTGTGCCATGGATCCCATCAATATACCTCAGTCATGTTAGCATAATATACCAGCACCATGGATCCGTCATGGGTCATGTTAAACTGGAAGAGATTCCGCTTAAATGGGTGGATTAATCTTGAACTGAAAATGAATCTTCAGCAAACTCCAGGAGATGCCGATCCTGCGAACAGAGGAGCGGGGTCGCCCACTGCAACAATGGAAGTTCAAAAATGGGGGATGCGATGGGCCCTCATTCTGCCATTCAATAACGGAGGAAAATGATTGTGACCCATTTGGGATCTTGAAGTAATTTGAAGTACCTATTTTGAGACGAAATCACATTGAAAGTAGTGAGATCAAGATGAGAGTCAAGCCCCGCAGCATCTGGGATGGCGTTTGCTCGTTGAAGCTACTCTGGACAAGTCTTACTTTGCGGCCTCTCGGGTTTTTCCCGACCCCAAGCGTAGAAACTGAAACCTCTCTGAGCTGGTCTGAGATGCCATGTTTCCTCACAAAAAAAAAAACAACACGGGAACAGCCCCAACCACAAAAAAACAAGAGCGTTTTTCCCCACCTGCCAGGTGAGGGTTGTTAGATTTTATGTCAGTTGCCTCCTCCTCCTCCTGCTCCTCCTCCTGCTCCTCCTCCTGCTCCTCCTCCTCCTCTCCTCCTCCTCCTCGTCCTCCTCGTCGTCCTCGTCGTCTCGTCCTCGTTCGCCTTGCTCAACGCGACCCGCGATCCAGTGTTCTCTGCCGGACCTCAACCACGACCACCCACGCCCAGTGTTCCCTGCCGGACCTCAACCACGACCATCCGCGCCCAGTGTTCCCTGCCGGACCTCAACCACGACCATCCGCGCCCAGTGTTCCCTGCCGGACCTCAACCGCGACCATCCGCGCCCAGTGTTCCCTGCCGGACCTCAACCGCGACCATCCGCGCCCAGTGTTCCCTGCCGGACCTCAACCGCCAGATAGAATGCCAGAAGATATGCCAGATAGAATGTCAGAGAGAATGCCAGAAGATATGCCAGATAAAATGCCATAAGATATGCCAGATAGAGTGCCAGAAGATATGCCAGATAGAATGTTAGAAGATATGCCAGAAGGTATGCCAGATAGAACGCCAGATAAAATGTCAGATAGAATGCCAGAAGATATGCCAGATAAAGTGCCAGAATGTTTGCCAGATAGAATGCCAGAAGATTTGCCAGGTGATATGCCAGAAGATATGCCAGATAGAATGCCAGATGGAATGCCAGAAGATATGCCAGAACATATGCCAGAAGATATGTCAGGTAGAATGCCAGAAGATATGCCAGATAGAATGCCAGATAGAATGCTAGAAGATATGTCAGATAGAATGCCAGAAGATTTGCCAGTAACAAAACGTATAAATGTCATGGTGGGGATAACTCGAAGTAAATGTAATTTTATTTTTCAATAGTGAAAGTCAAAGACCGATTCTTTGCTCAAAGGGGAGCTTTGATTTTTTTTTTGCCTTTAAAACCTATAGAATGGGATTCTTGTATGGCAACTCTCGTTGCCCTTAAATATCAAACACATGCCCGGGGCATCGGAGCATGTCTAATCCATTGGATTTGGATGCTGCCCGGACACAATTCTCCTGCCAACAGCCCTCCTGCCATGGATGGAACGTCTCATGTCACCCAAAGTTCCCCCAAGAGGTGTCTTTGACTCATCAAAATGTGTGTTTTTCTGGATTCTACCAGCAAAATCAGCAAAATAAGACCAAAAAAACAGTTTAAGCAACCGAAATTGGGGGCTGTTGAACAGTACCCACGGAAAAATGGTAGACATGGTGATATGATCAACCAAAAATCACCCAAACATGGAAATGGAAACTGCAACAAGGGAACTGATCGTCAGGGAATACAAAAAAAACCAAAGTCAATGGGATCGGATACAACCCCCCTTCGATCGCAAGGACATCTTGAGTAAAGATCCAGCAACATCTTGAGTCAAAATTATTTCGGCTCACCTGTTCACCCCTGGGGGGGTTCCTGGTCTTGCGAGTTTTGGGCGTGGGGTTGCGAGTTTTGGCACCAGTTGCTTGGTGTTGAGGACCATCATGGAACATGTCAATTCCAAGAGAATAGAGCTGCAACATCCAAAACGATGGCATATTCATTCTTATCCTACCATTATTTGATGGATTGATTATCACAGCATTCATCAACAGTTATTCCGGAATGATACCCAGGCCCAATCAATCTATGAAATAATGGGATTCACATATCCTGCAACCAGGACCAGATGGAAATTCCGGAATTTTGGAACTTCGAATCTTGCGAGCTGCTCAAATATGGTGGTTTCTTAAACTGCAGGATCCCCAAGTCACCATGGGTTTCATACTAAGCCATGGTCATCCATCACTTGGACGATCTAGGGTATCCCAATATGTGGATTTTCCATATCTAATCCCATGAAATCACCATTGAACCACCATTAAACCACCAATTTGTTGTTCAATTTTTAGACACCGGGGCATGGCATGGCAGATCCGCCCAATCCTTGGCTCCGAAGGGTCTCAGGTCCTGCGATGAAGCGATGAACACCAGAGCCACCCATGCCGCTTTGATGGTTTCCAAAAAAGGGGGCCTTCTGGAAATATGTGGACATGGTATTTGGGTGTTGGCGATATTGGAAACCATATCTTGGATTCGGAGCAAATTCTTTTCCATCTCCATTTTCACAGTGAGATTGTAGATATTCACCAACGAAAGAGATGTTTGTCTGAACATGTCTGGCACCTCTTTGATAGTTAATCAATATGAATCATCACTATCCCTTTTTGGTGGAGTAGCCCATTTTCAGACACACTGATATGTACTGGGAATGATTGGAGGCAGAACACTTGGAAGTATTCACCATATTCACCACTGGGGGTATACTCAACTTATTGTCTGTTGAAATTGCAAATACTTGGGATATGATGTTGAGACATAAAACTGGTGTATAAAAACTCATGGAACTGGACCTGGATGTTATTTTGTTTTTTCAACAGGCAAATCGTCCAGAAATCGAAAGAAATGCTTCCATCTTTTGATTACTTGAAAACATTGGGTGTGGTTTGGCTACGCTGGGGTATCGTACGTCAAGAGCGTGTAGGCCTTGCCAGAAAACCACTCCTGACATTCAGATATGTTTCCACAATCACCCAAAAACTAACATGAAACTTGAGGAAGTCAGTTGCTTTTTATTCCCTATAATTGGCTAGTATAATCCCTATAATATTTGGATATGGTATATACTAGCCAATTATAGGGAATATTAGCGATTATAATTTTCCAATCAGTAGATACACTAGCCAATTATTACCAATAATATAATGAGAAATAATATCCCCTATAATCGCCAATATAGTATGGTATATATAATTTTCCCATTAGTATATTGGCGAGTTGTTCATCTGGTCCTCCAGCAGCGCTTCGCCCAGGTCAAAGCCGTTCACCACCACGTTGCGCCTGCGCAGAGGTCTGTAGCAGCAGCCCATGGGAAACTTATGTATTTACCCAGAAAATCGATCAAAAACCTAGAAATCTTGGTAATTTTATGGTAATTTTGGGTGGAAAAAAAACATGACATGTTGATAAACGAATGATAAATGCGTGTCCTCGCAATTGCATATCTTCGGAGAACTGATGCAAAAAGATGCAAAAAGATGCAAAAAGTTACTCTTGTTCTTGTGGATCTTCACAGAGATGAGAAATGATAGAAATGAACCCGCAACGGGGGCTGATTCCTCAGAATAACCCAAGTTCCTGTGGTGGCGCCTCTGTTAACATCACATGGGTTTAGAAACACCACATCTCTGGATTTGCCGCAACCAACTTTCCAATAAAGCATGATTGTTCTACACACGTTCCCAAATGCTCCAGCTAACTGTTACTTTTTCATGCTTGGAACATGTTTGGGGCAAATGACTGATAAATATTCCAATGGAATATCTTTGATGACACACACGATCGAAATTGGAAAAAAAAAAAAGGAAAAAAAAACGTCCTAAACATCTAGCGTTTCAAAAGGTAAACAAGCTGCTATTGAAACCACCAAAATTCTAGGAGCCATGAAGCCATTCCTATACTTGAAATCAATTTTCACCAGCCACCTATTCGGAGTGAGGCGTTTAACTGCCTAATTTTTGCATGGTACATTCTACCATATTCTAGCCATGTTATTCGGAAATGTTCCCATGGCTGATTTTCCTATGAAAAAACGTCACAGCCTCACGCAATCTGGCCAGGAGAGGACCTTGTTCGGCCCATCCTTGCGGATGTTTTTAGGTGGGTCTTTGGGAGAAAAAATGGTGGGAAAAATGGTGGGAAAATGAATGAACATTTCAAAAATGATGGAAACCAAAATTTTGAGACTTGGAGAATTAGAGTTTATACTATAGTGCTTAGGACATTGGATGGTTTTGGCAATTATTGTTGGAGGTTCCAACAATGAAATGAAGACGCTTTGGTGGTTCGCAATGTTTTAAACGTTACTGTAATCAGGATGTTCGTTTTCTGAAGTTAAAGATGACAGTTTAAGTACAGGCAGACATATCCAATAAAATACAATTCACAGGTGTCAGCGCGTCATGAAGCAACCTCGCTCCAGAATGAAGAATTGCAGTTCAACCCATAGGTCTCACTTGAGAAACCACCCAACTCAACACGTGTTTCTATTTCAAACACAAAATGTAAATCGCCTCTGATTATAGGCATACATACCTTTGAGGAATCCAAGACAGGGATGGACAATACCCCATATCCATTGAATGATTTTCTGAATTCAGTCTTAAGAATGTCCCATTGCGTCAATCCACAGTGTTTCAGGTCAAACCCCAGTTTTTTGATGCATACCCTGCGTGATGGTTGATGCTCCGATGTTTCATGCTTAAACCTCCATATACCCTCTGGTAATTTAACATAGCTATGGAAAATCACCATGTTTAATGGGTAAATCCACTATTTCAATGGCCATGTTCAATAGCTTTTTGTTAACGTTTACCAGAGGGTATTTGATAGTCAATACCTCAAGAGTTTGGATGGTTTGTACATGTTTGTACTATTAAACTAACTCTCACTTTGATGGCTACAGCTCCAATTTTATTTGATGGTTACTCCAATTCCATGTCAATTCGCCAGCTAAAAATTAAAAAAAAGCGCCGTCCTTGGATCTCGACCTTGGGAAAAGTGATCAGAAAAGTGATGTTTCAAGTGGAAATGGAACATAAATGGAAGGAAATCAGCTGATTTAATATGGGGATATAATTTAGTGGGGATATAATTGGAGATATAATTTACTGGGGATATAGTGATATAAATGAGATACTGTCATGGTTGATTACCGGAGGATAGAATGGGACATGAATCCAATGAGAATGGTGCTTGGGAAGGGAATCGTGCTAACGGTTCTGACATCCATGAAGGAAGATATCCAGCAGTTCTCACGGTTTTCCCATTCCTAGTGGAAACAATCTGCAGTTTCAGGATTCCCAAACTGGTGAGAGACATATTTACCAGCTTCCTCTAGCTTCCGCATGAGATTCAATCCTGAAGCGTGCTGTATCCCTTGTTGGTGTTTTTGTCCACTGCTGGCACCAAACTGCAGAGAGGTGGCTAGAGAGCAACCAGCCACCCAGTGGAACTTATAGCCAGAGTCATATCGCATTGAACGCCGATCTTGGACAATATAATATTTTTTCAACACAGGTATATTATATTATATTTATATATATATCATTTATATATACACATAAAATCCGTTATCATGAATGCCTTTCTTATCTAAGTTCGGCTTTGACCTTGGTAAAATTCACCACAGACTTCACCACAGGGTCCCCAAACGACGCGCCCCAGAAATCGTCTTCGTCGTCCCATTCATCGTCGAAGGATGGCGTGAAGGGTTTCAAGTTCAACGGTTTGAAGGTGATATTCTGCCTGAGTTGGGCCAACAAGTCTGCAGCACCATGGGTACCAACACCAGCAACCAATTGAATCATTGAGTCATTGATTCGTTCAGTCATTGTTTCCTTGCTTTTCTGTTTCGTTCATTCGTCACACAATCACCCATTTCTTGCATTTCTTGATTGATTCGTTCATTCATCCGTTGATTCATTCATTCATTCATGCCGGCATTCATTCATTCGTTCATTGATTTCATTTGCTTTCACGTAATCTCATGTCTCAAAAACTATATGCTGCACCTCACAACTTCAATCGTTGCTTCATGTTGCCTCTTTTTTGAAGCCCCGGCACCCCCGACACATCGGGACCCTCATCGAGCTCCGTTTGCGCTCGCCGAGACACAAGTTCAAACTCAGGTTCAACTTCAAGGGCGCCGTGATCCGCGCCTCGTTGCCCGAGTCTGTCAAGCTGCCAATCTTCTTGAAGTTCTTCAGATAGTCCTCCGAACTGTAGTCCTCACAATCTCAGCAAACGTGGCATCTTTAAAGAGAAAACACCAACAAAACCGTGGCGTTGAACCCGATAAAAACCAACAAATGACACATGGGATCAATGGGATCATGGGATGAGTGAAGAATCCAATCGGAAGTGTCTCTGGGATGTTGATGTCCGTTGATCAACAAAATGCTTTTTTATTGATCAATGTATTGGCTGCACAGCAGCCAAAAATATATAAAATATATAAAATATAAACGGATATTGGATATCCAAACAACCAGATATAATACCCTCTGGTAAACGTTTACATAGCGAACTGGAAAGATCCACCATGCTATCAATAGCTATGTTAGTTTACCAGATATAATAATAGACAATAATAGACACTACATCTTATCAGACAAAAAAGGATCCAATTTCAATCGCCTTGACGTGCGCGATCTGCGGCGGCTGATACCTCAGGAATCTGCCACTGATACTGATCTCTGCGCTATCCAAAACAGAGATTTATCAGGATTTTTCATGATATGATAAATAATGATAAATGAAAATGATTTAATATGATATTAATGACTATGATAATAATATACTTAATATGATTCATTTAATGATTATCTATTTAATGATATAATGATGGACTTTTTGCTGAAAAAAAGTCCATCATTTATCATATGATTTAATGATTTATTCAAAAATCACCAAACAAAATATGGGGAATTCAAGAGATTGAAAACCATATTTCACCAAAATGATGATGATTTTCGGCATGTGTTCCACACGTGGCCGTCATAGGGTCCAGTTCGGTTTGGATTTGCACCTCAAATCTCCATGTTTCCTGGCAAAATCTGGCAAATATTGGCAGATTGCTGGGCAATTTGGCAGATTTTGCCAGGAACTTTGTATTGGTTAATATATGGCACCTACAAATTTGTTTGCCACAAATTAACCAATATTATTGGTTAATATATTGCCTATTTTATAATAATTATTGGCAAATATGGGTTGTCACAATCGTCGGATTTCCACAACGACAATTTGCCTGAACTGTGGACAGGTGGGACACTTTCCCGTTCCCTCTGTCAAATCCACTGAAATCCACTAATGCTTCACGGGGGTGGCTGGAGATGCTGGAGATGCTGGAGATGTGATGGTTAAGCGACCCTTTGATTGTCAACATAAAGGGAAATAAAGGGAAACATCTATCTGAAAGTAAATGCAATATTGTGCAATATTGTGCAATATTGTGCAATATATAGTGAAAAAGCTTGCTGTCATCTTAGGGCCAGGGTGCTTCGGAAGCTCCCTTAAAATCTCCCAAAATTCAAGCCACAAATTTCTGTCACTGCCGAGGGGCGCAGACTTTCCAGTTCCATCCTGCTGACATTGTTTGATGCTCTCCTGAGTTGTTCGGAAGAAGAGAAGATGTTTGCATCATGTTATATATTTGTCTGATATATTGTTTTTAACAGTGTTCAATCAAGTTTAATCCCAAGAACCTTTGGTAACTGATGTGTGACCTTTGTTGAAGATCTTTGATATTATATATGGGTATATGTATCATTGACTATCATTGATACCCATCATTATACATATATGTATACCCGTAATTGACAACGGATATATATATATATATTAATATTAATAGACTACAATTGACTATCATTGCTAGTATATACGGGTATATTTACCACATAAGCAATAAACCACCATATATATATATACGGGAATGGTAAACATAGCAACCATGGTGATGACATGTGATGACTGGGGGATGGTGATGACCATGGCATTGTTTTATCCACATTGATATGTTTCTCCCACATCAAAATCATCAAATCATCGTCCCAATGCTGTTTTCTCGGGGCGTCGATGCGGGGAAGTGCCCATCGCTTCATCCGATAGGCCTTGGAATCGCTTGGAGTCGTGGCCACAGTTGTCATTGACATCACCAAAACGAATAATTTACTGAAAACAAATTACCCAGGGAGTCTAAGTGGTGGCAAAGTATCGGTGTTAGTAGAGGTGGAAACTTTGTAATTAATTACATATGAAACATATGGTAATGAATGGTAATGACATATATCACTATATAATAATTGAAACATATGAAAAATATTGAAAATAACAACATGCTTGATAGCTGACACACGTCATTGAAAATACGACATAACTATATCATATTTCCATCACTGATCATGAACTAGCATTTTTTCAATGAGTTTCAATGATGATAGTCATATTAAGGCCATATCATTGCAACATGTCAATTAATGGCTGATCATATATACTTGCATCAACATTTCAAACCATGTTTTAGCTGTTTGATAGCTGGCCATTCCCATAACCCCCTCTGGTGACATGGCACATACAAAACATCGGAGCAGGTGTTGCAACACTCGCCATCTGGAAGCGCACCATAACAATCCTGGTGAGAACTTGGCGGCTGGCAGGTACAGTTTCGGTGGTCTAAATGGGCATAAAATTTGAGGCAAGAGTCATTGGCCAAGCATGTTGGATCCAGAAATGGCGATTTTAAGGTAGGGGTCACTCAATTTGAAGCTCTGGGTGAGCCAAAGGAAGCTTAAAGGAGACTTGGGAGCACGGTTCCTTCCATCAATGAAATGGCAGCGTGAGAAAGCCCTTAATCAATGAAGGCAACGGATTTAGCGTGGCGGGGTACAAAAGGCCTGAGCAGTTGAAATGGACCATCCATGAATCAAACATTGAATTCATCAATTTTCCATCGAATCCTGTGAAAGACACGGATTTGTCCAAAAATAGAGTAATCACCCCAGAATCTGATGATTTTTGAATAGGTCATCATCTTTTCACCCTCCAAACTGCTATTCGCAGTATCCCTTTCTGAACCTCGGTTATATGTATATAATATATATCCCATTCACTATCCCCAAGATATCCCCATAAAGTAGGGGAAACGATGGCAAGCCGCAAGCCCGCTCCATGTTTGGAAACCAGGGATCACCACAGGTGGCATTGCCAGTGCCATTGCGAATGCTAGGGCTGGACCTCGGCAGAATTCATACCATTGACAGATACCATATCAAGAGGGGGATATTGATACCAGAAAAAGGGGATATCTATGGTATCAAGATATGGGGAGGCTATCATGAAAGAAATGGATATAACTTATATAACTCAAAAATCACTGACATAGAGTAACTATCAGTAACTGATATTCTTGGATGTACTTGGATATACTTGGATATACTTGTTTGGATACTTGGTTATAGTCCTGTAGAAATGAGATTTTACTCAAAATGGGCAAAACCATGCGTCGACGGACAAAATCCGGGTGAGTTCACCACATTTTTCAGACCTGGCTAGGACGGGGAGGTGGAGTGACAAAAACTGGGACTTGTACTAGTGCTCAAAGTGTTCATATACATATATATATATTATGTATATTATATATATAAATATATATATCCAATTGCTATCCAATACAGCTGGCTATATTAGGTAACCAATTCAAAAGTGAGAACAAAGATGGTATACCGATACGTCGATATGTTTCCAAGAGGACATCGTATTTCATTTCTTTTAGTTTCACTAAATATAGTAATATGATGTAATATAAGAAACTATATGAAGGTTTCCATATTACATTATAGGATGTCCTATAAGTATATGATGTAATATGGAGGTGTCCTAAGTCATGGTACCCCCAGTCATCCATAAACCAACCAGCGCCGAGGGACGCTCCGCTTCCACCCGCCACTTTGGGGTCCTTGGGACGCTTCCACGCGGCGTTGGGATCAATGAATGTTGGGGGACTATGAACTCCAGCCACGCACAAAACGTTGGATTTTTGAGTGGCTACGATTTGAAGATTTTAGCAAAGCTTCATTGTGTCCCATCAGACGAAGCGAATTGGTTTGTGGATTTTGATGGAGGCCAAAGGAGAAAATTGGGACCTGCAGAGATGAGTAGAGGTGGGATGAATGGTACCCCAGACCCCAAAGGTGCTACATGATGTATGAAAAATGTGAAAATGAATTAACTAATTGAGCTGGCAACCCAATTCGCTCTATTTCAGAAATTGCCGTTTCTTTTTTGTATTCAGCTGAGACCCTGTGAACATGATGGATTTCTACCAGCTTCAGATCACATTTTTTTTGTGATAACATTTTTTTTGATACAGATAGATATCTATTCTGTATATATATTTGTATACTGTATATAGTTTTTTAAAATGTATGTATATATCCCGCACATGTCATGGGTGGTGATCAACCCCTCGAGAGGAAGTGGCACACTGTGTCCAGTTCAAAGTTTTCAGGCACTTTATCATTGAATAACCCTAGAATCTGTTGTGCACCAATATATACATATATAGCAGAATCATAGCCTTCCCATGGCCTTTCTGCCCCAGCTCCATCCAGCGGAGTCGAGTAGTGCAAGAATGAATGAG